TGCGTGCGTGCGTGTACGCGTGTGTATCGCTCACCTCTCTCAGGATGCTGGGCGTGTGTGTGCGTGCGGATCGCTCACCTCTCTCAAGGCGTGTGTGTGTGTGGAACACTCACCTCTCTCAGGGCGCAGTGTCCCAGCAGGAAGTGCAGAGAGGGCAGCCGGGTGACAGCGCGGGCTCTCAGACAGGGCACACTCTCCCAGGGGAGCTTCTGCAGGTGCTGCACATACCAGCACACAGCAAAGATGAGGGCACACATTGTCTTCCCACAGACTCGCATTTTATTCGGGATGTCTACATTGCAATGGCATGTGTATATCATCTTAAGATTCTGTCCCCACATTTATAGCAATACATGTCCAAAATGCCAAAGTAGAACTCCATGCAATGGAGTGATCAGCAGCTTGAGTCCCCAACACTGGGGTTTATACAACAAGAACAGAAGTCAAAACAAGATCAGAAAGAGAAACAGGTGTGTGGTCACAGACCTCTGCAGACAAAAGGCTTTCGGTACAAGATCCAGAACTCTTCCGATCTATAGCAGTATTCCCAGGGTGCCAGTACCTTGTCCAGGATAAGGACGACATGTCCCTTTGGCTGGCTCTCCTGTCGGTCTTTCAGAACAGTGACGGCAGACTGCAGGAGGCGCTGTGCTTCATCGGGCTGCGTCGGACACAACCCCCCAGCCAGCAAGCGCAGGTCCGAGGGGGAGAGGAGAGGAGCGGCGGTCAGCACAGCCTGCAGCACAAGGGGAAAGCAGGGAGTAACCAGAGCACTCAGCATTCAATTCAGAGATCTAGCAAAGCTGGTGATGGACTTGGACCAGGGGTATCAGACAGAGCTGAGCTCTCCAGAACAAAAAACAAACCCTGAAAGTTTCTCCATGCAAACATTTTTCTAATTTCTAATCTTCAATAATTCTCTAAAATGCATGGAAAAGTTGTCAAGGATTAGATCATAAAAGCACAAGGGCTCGATTAAGTAACAGTAGTGCTGTACTGGAACCGGAAGACACCAAGCTCTTGGGAATATGAACTAGACTGTGGAAAAAGTGGATGCTCATTGACCCCTGACCTTCAGCAAGTCTTCGCTGCTCTGGGCTCCACACTCAGAGAGCGCTTGATGCAGACAGGCAGCCTGCTTGGCCACCTCGGGGTCCTGACAATGGGGCAGCAGCAGGCCCCTCCAGCAGCTCAGCACCTGCTCCTCCATACTTTCTAACAGCGCCTGGAGTTAGAGATGAGAGACAGGGAAGAGAGGGCGGGGGGACAGCAATCAAAACCAAACCATCAGAAGAAAACCACAAAAAAAAAAGAAATCTGGGGGACCAGATCGATGGAAAGATATGAAGGCTGACCCGCTCCCCCTCTCACCTTCATCCTGCCATCCAGCAGGCGGCGCCCCTCCCACCACTCCGCCTTGTCCGTGACGTTGCTGAGCGCCTTCTGCTCCTGCTGCATGGCCTCGAACTCCCGCAGCAGCGTGCCGATGGGTCTCTGGGAAAGGGCAC